GAAGAAAGATTGAGCTCATATAAGCTATCTGTGTGTCCTCTTATTTATTTTATTTTCTATATCCTCTTCATAATTTTATTCTCTTTTTCTGGATATTTTCTGGTCTTCCCTTCCTCTTTTCTTCTTTCCATCTTTCCCCCTTTCCTCTCTCCCTATCCTGGGCCTTCACACTGAGTTATATCTCCAGCCTTTTTTTGTCATTAGTTTCCCACACTGGGCTCAAACTGGCAATCCTCCTGCCTCAGCCTCTCAGAATGCTGGGATTACAGGTGTGCACCACCATGCCTGACTGTGCGTTTTACTTTGTACAAAGTTAAAATATCACATAATGGTTTGTTTCCAACACCCTTTCTCATAATACCTAGCATTCTTATAAACTCTGTCATTACCACACTGGGCTGATATACCAAACTACAGTATACAACATGGCCTAGACCATATTTTGGGACTTTCTGACTATTTAAATCTATATTTTGAAAGGTTATTCCAAGAACAAAAAGCACCATACTCTTGGCATTTATTCTTTGGCTCCCATCAAAAGAAATACTATTATGGCAATTGACTTTCGGGTAAAAACATGCTGCATATATCCACGCAAGTTTCCCATTGTGCCAGGCAGTGACGGGCAACTCAAGTCTGGATCCCACTCTGTGGATACAGCATCATTCTACAGCATCTTGTTTTTCTACACATCGGTTCCTGTGGGTTTGTTAATATGCAATCTGCATTTTCCCTGTAGAGATTCTATTCAGTCTCCATCTTATGAAAATTGCAGAATAATTCCATTATCCACTTAAATGAAGGGAGCAATGATGTGGGTAATCCCAGAACACTGAAACCACTAAAAGTCATTTAGAGCAGGTTTTCAAGCAAATTAAACAAATCCCACCCCTTCCTCACAGACTTACCATTTATGGAATTGTTTTGTTTTCTTATAATAACATGGGGGGGGTCAAAGTTACCAAATTAGACTGATGGAATGGAGGGGCCATATACAATCTGTCACAGAATCACTCTCTGGAATAGTAAGAAATAAAACACAATCATGTTTACCTGATGCTCAGAATCACTTCTACTACCTAGTTCTACCCAACCCAGTGTAAAACAACTGCAGGCAGGCTTTCTGGTCCTTTACCTTTCTTTTCAGAGGTCCCAGGCGGGATGTTTTGGCATCTTGTGCTTTGTAGGTGACCCATAGCCCACTGGCTATATGCTGGACAAAGCAGACAGAATCTCCATACTTGATTTCTGGAACTCCCATGCCTTCCATTTCTCGCTTGTGACTAGAATCCAATTTCTCCTTGATTTCCTATTTCACACAAAAAAAGATGCAAACATAGGTATGCCTGATTGAATAGAAACTCAAAATATAAGACAAATCACTTGTGTGGAATTTGTAAGCCAAAACCTATTACCAAAATAATCACGATATGCACATCCAAGCCAGAACTTTATAGACTTGCTTGCTTTTCTGCTGTTACTTGTAACATTAATGTACTTAAAGTTTTGGGTACTTGTGTGATTATTTAAAACCATGGAAAATAAGGCAGTTGGTAGTTTCCTGCTTCTGTTCAAATGTTATATAATTCTTTATTGTATTTCCTACTTTCTGCATCTTGGCTTAGATACCTTAATAGGTAACCTTTACTGGCCAATTAACTTATTTATAGCAATTGATATCTGCCAACATTTTAATGGTTATCTTGTGAAAAAATCCCTAACTCGGGGGCTTTAACATCATATCTATCTTCTGATCAATCCATCTACCTACCTACCTACCTACCTATCATCTATGTCTCTCCATTCACTCAACAGACAGCAGGCAGAGGGTAGTACTGTGCCTTCAGCTAATGCAGTACTCTGCATAGTAGGCTCTTAGGGACCTCTCAGCTGTGAGCTGCCGTCAATGGGTTTCATTTGTCAATCGCCACCATTTCACCACTTATTCATCTAACAGTGTGCAGAGGGACTTACTATGTCTTAGGTAACCACTTGGTGACAACAGGAAGTGCCTGTCACAAGAGTGTGTCATGAAGTAGGCCCCTGATGCTTGGTAATCTTCCCCTCCTCACCAATCAGGGTCTCTACATCTCTATTCTGAATGGCTCTAATCTATTTCCATTTCTTTTCTACATCTTGCATTAAATTGCTCATTTGAAAAAGCCATTAACTAGACAGCTTTGTGAATATTTTACAGAATAAAAAATGTAGCACATTGGTTCCTCTGCTTGCAACAACATTCCCCTCATTTTAATGATGGAACAGCAACAGCACGCGTATTAACCACTTCTAAGTTCTTTACATGTGCAGATATTAACTCAATAACAAAGCCCACATTGTAGCTAGAAATACTATCCCAGTTCTAGAAAAAATAAATAAGGCTATTTTCCCAACATCACTTGAGGATGTAATGCCAGGATCTAAATCAAGATGTCTAGTTCCAAGGTCTGTGCTTTTCCTACTACTCTAAACTTCTACCCACCCTTTAAAACCCTGTACAGATGTGACTTTCTCTGTGAAAGCAGAGTTAAATCTCTCTTGCTATATTTTCCCAGACTAATCTCATGTTTTGTATTGTGCACTTAGCATACCATAATGTATATGTGTTTGTTTACATGACACTTTTTTTGGAGGGGTAAAATTTTGAAAGAATCAGTCAACTAGTTTTGGATGATGAATACAGAGAATTTATGGCTATATATGCATAACATTTTATTTCACACACATTTATTTTATATTTTAGCTCATTTATTTTCTTGCTTTCATAAAAGCAAGACTAGTTGCTTCACACACATTTATATAGGACCATTTTGAGCAGTATTAATACTTTATAGGAAAATTATTTTAAATATATGTGCTAACACATTGACTAGATTTTTATTTTTATTTATTTATTTTTTAAATTGAGTTTATTGGTACATTCTAGGTATTGAGTACAGTTACATTTATTATTGGAATCTTGTACCTCTACATGACAGGTCTTGGTTCTCATTTTTTCCCCTTGTCCCTGCCCTCTCTTCACCTCCTCCTCCCCTCCCCATTTACAAGCACTTTATTTCCATCTTTTCATTTTCTCACATTTTTTTCTTTTCCCTTATTACCCTTCCCTTACCCATCCACCTCCCCTACACCTTTACCCCTTTTCTTCCTTGACTAGATTTTTAAACGTGACTTTTTATTTCCCAGAATGGATATGTTTCCAGGGGAAGAGATTTAGGACTTAGTTTACAGGTGATTGTCAAGAACGCCTCTATTCCACAAAACAACCGATACTTGATTTCATTTCAGAAACATCCACATCTTAGAGATGTTCAAGCCAGTAATAACTAGGACTTAAAAGATGCCCAAAATTTTAACGTTAGTCTGTTTTCTAACCATAGCCAAATGCAGTGAAATAAAAAGAAAACATGCCACATCTGTTAAATATGAACAATTGCACTATCACTGGTTAAAATTACGCACATTCCTAAACTATCAGTGAATATGGTTACTACATTTGTTTTCTCACTTGTCATTTATTTAAATAGCACTTTGCCAAAAGGACACAAATACTAGAGTCACTAAAAGAGTCATTATTCTGAATGGAGTAGAGTATCTTTCTGCATCTTGGCTTCTATATATATCTTTTGAAGTTCTGTAACATTCCCTGTAGTGATGTTCACTTTTAATTTAAAAGAAAATCAACAACAATGAAAATTAAGAAGTGAGACAAAAATCCACCCTAAAAGCCCAATTGTATGCAACAAGCATGATGAATCAGTAAGGGAACAAAAGAGGTCAGTGGTAGAGAAGCTCACTTGGGCTGACAGTGCTCAGCCTTTCTGACTTGAGCATAAATAAATGTCCCTCCCAGTTCCCACTACAGTTTGGGCCCTGATGCAGCCACCTTACCAGAAATAGAACCTTCCTTGAGAGCAGGACCAAGCCCATCGTTCCCTTTCAACAACTTCCAACTTCCTGCAAACTACAATTCTCACTTTTAAAGTTTGTATATATATTTTAATCAAATTGGACTATAAATGTTCTTTTTCACTTGATTTTTCTTGCACTGTTAAGCATAGACCCACAGGGCCAAGGACAAAAGATTATTTCCCAGGACAACACATCTATAATCCCACATTCTGGGATGCTGAGGCAGGTGGGTGGAAAGTTGGAGTCCAGCTTGGGCTACTTTATGATTTAGCAAAACCCTGTATAAAAATAAATACAAAAGTGCTAGGAGTGTAGCTCTGGATGAAGACTCTGAGATCAATTCCTAGTATTGGAAAGAGAAAAAAATGACATACCCATATTTCACCTGACTGACTGACCTGGTACTGCCCTATGTGGCTCTGTGTGGTACAGTGTGTGGCCTCCTCCTGGAAATAACAGGTTTTTCTCTTCATTGTCAATCATTTCCTGATCTGTGGGCTTCATTATATTTGAGTAATAATAAAATTTCCTTCTTCAACCATATATGAAACCTTTGCCGGCACATTGGCAGCCTCTTGCCAGACTGAAAGCTCTTGAAGGTCAGAACTGGGGTTTATCTTTGTGTCCCACACAGTTCTCCACTTGAAATAGGTTGCAAATCATTTGTTTCTGTTTTATTGTTCTGTGGGCATTGAATTTGTGCATCAGTTCATCTGAACGAGAGCTGCCAAAGCCAGGCGATGATGAGCTGACTGTGAGGGGCATGTTACTTGGATTAATATGCGTGGAAGGACGATAATCATTATCTTTTGCCTCTCCTGACAGCTTATTAGTGAAATGTTCATGAACACATCAGAACAATTTGCTTAGATGATCACATTGCTGCTCTCTGGATTGGTTTAGAATTTCTCAAATGACAAACAGGCGAACCAACACTAGTATTTGCCCAGTTCCTAGCTTGCAATGTCTTAGTTGTTTAAGAGGCCATTACAAAGAAAAAGTTAAACATGTCTTCTATTCTTTAAAAAACTGCTTTGGGTCCCTAGACACTTTAGAGGTTACACCTGGTAGTCAATAACCATAGGGTGAAGCCAGCTACTAAATCTGCTTATCTGTATGTGTTTTTGCAGAAATTCAGAAAAAGCAGCAACAGTGATGCTATGAGCCTTAGAGACATCAAAGTTATTAAGGTCCCTGAAAATGGCTACATACCTTAATGATGGAAAACATTTTTATAAGACATTAAAACTTTACTACAACTAGTGCTAAAAACTAGTGAAACTGTTAAATATTAATAAATGTTTAAAAATAATTGCAAGGAGATATACTCTTTATTCCAAGTATATCTGCAACTCAGAAGACAAAACAACTCCCCTAGGATGCGTGGAGATGGTTTTATACAAGGTTTATATCTGATATGAGCTCAGCTGGGAGACAGATTAGAGGTGTGCTAGTATATCTTTCCTTACTATAACAAAATACCTGCAACTGGGTAACTGTAAAGACAAGTTTATTTAGCTCATGGTTCTGGGGTTTCAAGAGCCATATCTGGTGATGACATTCTTGCTGGAAGAGTTCTGAGGTGGCTCATGAGGGCATCACATGTCAAGAGGTAAGGAGTACATGTGTGCTTGTTCTGGTCTCTCTCCTCTCCTTTTCTCTTCTCTCCTCTCCTCTCCTTCCTCTCTCTCCCTCCCCCTCTCTTTCTCACTTCCCTTCTCTCTCTCTCTCTCTCTCTCTCTCTCTCTCTCTCTCTCTCTCTCTCTCTCCCTTCCTCCCTTCCTGGTACTGGGGATTGGACTCAGGTCCTTGTGCTGTCCTTGTGCTTGCAAGGCAGGCAGTAAAACCACTGAGCTAAATCTCCGCTCCCTTTCCTCTTTTTATAAAGCCACCAGTATTCAACCACAGAGGCTCCACCTTGGTGACCTTCTCTAACCCTCATTATATTCCAAAGGCCCCACCTCTAAACACCATAGTCAAGTTTCTAACCTCTTATTCTGCATACCTCACAGTGGAGATTAAAATCGAATGTACAAACCCTTGGGAGGTACACCCAAACTATTTCTAAACCACAGCAGAAGGACATAAGGGAGGGAGTGGCAATCTAGCAAGATGAGCATTGTGTGGCAAAGGGAATGGAGAAATCTAGAAGGTGAACTTCAATAATAAGGACAAAAAAACTGCATCCTATAGGTTCATGTTTCTCAAACTCACAATAGTAATAAACTTTCTGTGGGAAAAAAACACTTTAGAAAAACACTGAATCTTCTAAGAGTCAAAGAGACAGGCAAAAGTATAAGCTCTTATTATAGGCAGCTGAGTTAGACAGAAATTAACACACAGTCAGAGAGGGGCTGGGCTCTTAAAGTTGGTGAAAAATAAAGATATCAGAACTGTGGCTGGAGATGCATCTGAAGAAGATCTGGCCTCAAGATAAAGATGCAATGGCCAGCCTTACATGCCTCTCTAAAGAATAAACAATAACTTGAGATTATATTGTAATTGGTCCAGTAAGTCCAGATAGGCATTAGTCACCCAGGTGGGTGACCAGAGCACCTGGACCCACAACTTCCCCAAAATGTCTGTATTCTTTCCATGCACCCTAGCTACATGACTCATTTCCCTACTAGATCTATATTAGCCACGTGGCTATGCAGTACTTGTAATCCTATTGGCTGATGGCAGTTTGACTCATGTTGTACCCACGTTATGACTTTGCTGTATAAATCACCCTGATGAAGGGCTTTCAGGACCCTTCCCGTCCCTCAGGAGATATCTCTAAAGAAACCTTTCCTTCTCTTAACCTCCTTTGTTCCTTGGAATTCATTCTTTGATTTCTGGGGACACAAACTTGTCACCCTCGACATCTAGAAGGTTGGTAGTTATATTTCTCCTATATTATTATTAGGTAAGAACCGAACAAGGAAAATAAAACAAAACAAACATGGAGCTCTGTTTAGAGTAGCACTTTGCTTTCTCTCACCTCCAAAGCATTGTCTGGAATATCTTTTGGAAATAGCTAAGATAAGTAACAGAAATCTGTGGAGATACTAGGGTTGCTTATTAGAATAACCATCTAACATGATGTAAGAAGTAAATAAATGGTGTAAAAAGATGTGGGAAGAGATGGCTGAGTTCTAAGTCATGTGAGTGGGATGGTTATCTGCAAGACAGCAGGTCCTAATTCACATCTATTAGAGTGCAATTTGTTGTTCTTCAACTCCATTAAACCACCTGTGTCTGCACAAATCAAGAAACCAGCTCTCCAGTACAGGTAGATACAAGCATCCAGAAGTGTTTCAGAGAAAAAGAAGGGAAGACAGGACATTGGATTCTGGAGTGAGCCTTCAAGAAAGTTGTAGCTACTGCATTCCTTCATAGGTGTCTTTGGGGAAACCTTGAAGAATCACCTTTAGGTTTATTTCTACATGGAGTCCTCATCTGGAATCTGAGACCTAAGTATTTCCTTAACAAATCCAGCATCTTGCAGCACCTGGGGCTGGCTGCAGAGTCCCACGAGTGGATGACAAGGCCAGCGTTACTGTTTGCAGGAAGCTGGGGGAGCAGATTCACTTGTCTCCTTGGGCCAGGCACATTCTGGAGCAGAAGACCTCCCTGGACTCTTCTCTATATTTTGCATTTAGTCTCTATACCTTTCCTGAGGTAGACAACACAACTCTCATTTTATACATAAGGAAAGAACCTCATGGGTCATCATCCTGGTCTCATTTTATCTTCACAATAATCCTTTAAGACACATCCCTCATATCCCCATTTTTACAAAAAAAGGACATTAAGGCTGAACAGCAAATGGAAAAGCTGAATCAGGCTCAAATCCAGGTTATTCCACCTTCCCACTCATGGTTTTCCTTCACTGAATTTTTTGCTTGGTCTGCTTTGAAGAAGAAAGACTAGGGAAAGTAGTTCAATCTGCATTTTAAAAATCCTTCCTGGCCGCCCAGAGCCACCATTGCTTCATTGCCCCAGAAGGTAGCCTGGGCCCTGATCCACCACGGGAAGGAAAGCCATGCCCTCTCCCGCTCGGAGCCACCATCGCTCCAGCGCCTGGAAGGTAGCCTGGGTTCCATCTACCGCGGGAAGGATAGCCACACCCTCTCCCGCCTGGAGCCGCCATAAGGTAGCCACACCAGGCGCCCCTGAACCCCCATAACTCCCCTTACCCCCCCATTCTCAGACCTCCTGATTGTGCCAGTCTTTGGACCCACTCTGCAGAGGCAGAGGTGGTCATAAAAGGTATTTTTCTGAGTTCCCAATTTTGAACATCTTTAAAGAAAGGGCGTGGGAAACCTGTAGTAGAACGGTGTGGAGTTCAACCGTTCAGAAGGTTGGGGAACTCAATCTGGGCCTTGCAGTCCAAGGGCAGTCTGCGTCATGGGGTTCAGCCATCAGCTAACTGAGATCAGGGGTCTTGCATCCTAGCTGTCTGAGCCCCCATCCTAAATGGTAATTATACTATGTTCACTGCAGACATGTTCTGGACTGCTTGATTTCTTGATTTCAATTTAATTCAAATGGTTTGAGGGTGATAGACTAGTGACTGCCACAGGTGGTCAGTTTCCAAGTTGTGCTTGATCATAATGTGTTGCTGATTGTATCAGTTGGGATAAAGGATTGTGGGTGATTTGATGAGCTGTTTTCTCTGATGTTATGAAGATAAGAATGTCTGTGGGTCGTTAGAGACCCAGAAGCTAGGGCACAACTATATCAGTGAACAAAATTATAGACATTCAGTACATTCCATTAAAAAAAACAAAAACAAAAAACAAACAAAAATAAAAATGAGAAAACACTTAAGCAAGACACAAAGACAGACTTCCAGTTCACCAGTGGCAAACAGTAGGGCAAACGAGGATGAAAAGGCCGATAGTGAACCAACAGGACACCTTGAACTCAAAGCACAGGAAGTAACAAAAGAGATCAATTGGGCTCTAGAAAAATTCAAAACAGAAATAATTTCCCAGATAACCATAGAGATGGTGAGCAAAATGAAAGTCGTGATTTGAGACTCTAGAGCAGAAACTGACAAAAAAATAGATGAGCTTAGGACCACAATAGAAGCCATGAAGGCCCAGCATAAGAAAGAAATGGAAACAATGAATTCCCAACACAGGAAAGAAACAGAATCCGTAAAACAGATTCAAACCAATATTCAGGAGATTAAACACTCCATTGAAAGTGTACACAACAGAATAAAAGAATGTGAAGATAGACTCTCAGATATAGAAGATAAGATTGCAGTCAGTGACCATGAAAAGAGAGGTCTCTTAAAAGCAGTAGGGGATCATGAGAAATCAATCCAGCAACTCCTAGATGATGCAAATAAGAATAACATAAGACTGATAGGAATCCATGAAGTAGCAGGAGAAAATACAAATGACTTAAAAAAGCTGTTCACAGAATTAATGACAGAAAACTTCCCAACCAGAGCGGAAGAATTTGACATTCAGATAAGTGAGGCATATAGGACCCCAACTAGCCAGAAAAAAAAAAAAATCTACACCTAGACATATAATAATCAAGATCCCAGAAACCCAACAGAAGAACAAACTACTACAAGCAGTAAGAGAAAAGAAACAAATCACATGCAAAGGAAAGCTCATCAGAATCACAGCAGACTTTTCAACACAAACCCTTAGGGCAAGGAGAGCCTGGAGTGAGATACTTCAAGTACTAAAAGAGAACAACCTCCAACCTAGACTGATGTATCCTGCAAAACTCTCTTTCAAAATGGATGGGGAAGTAAGATACTTCCATGACAAAGAACACCTGAGAAGCTACATGAATACCAAACCAGCACTACAAACAATTCTAAACAAGATCCTAGAAAAAGACAATGAAGATCACAACACCATGAGGCCCAACAGAGCAAATCAAATAGGCAAGGCAAGAAGCTAAAAGGAGAAGGTGAAAAAGTAAAAAGAGTCAACAAAAGGCCAATAACATGGCAATAATAAATCAGTGCACATCAGTTATGACCATCAATGTCAATGGCCTCAACTCACCAATCAAGAGAAATAGACCGGCAAATGGAATAAGAAGCAAAGCCCAACAATATGTTGTATACAAGAAACACACCTAGTGCAAAAAGAAGCTCACAGACTGAAAGTGAAAGGATGGAAAACAGTTCTCCATGTGACAGGAGCCCAGAAAAAAGCAGGGGTAGCAATCTTATTCTCAGACAAAGTAAATTT